GCCCTCAACGCCACTAGGTAAGTCCTTAAATGTGACCTTACCCGTGTCCGGTCGGTCTCGGAGCGGGTAGTCCTCCAAACACCCTCTAGGCGTCTCCTCTGGCGCTTCATCCCCCTGAGCTCTCCGGAAAACCAGGGAGCCCAGGTGGTCCGGCGACGGGGGAGAGGCCGCAGTGGCACGACCCGGTCTAAGGCCCCACCGGCCACCCTATTCCAGGCGGCCACCAGGTCCCCCGCCGAGCCGGGGGACCTGGTGGCTCTTTTATGGAAACCTGTCTGGCACAAAAAGAAAGCCAGAGTTAGATTCAAAAATGAGACTTAAAGTTTTACTTAATGGGTTAAAAAGGGTTTTAGAGATTTTGACTGATTTAATACTAACTGAGATGAATTATTGACTAGATTATAGTTTGGAATTGTAATAAGGAAAAGGTTTTATATAAAGAGTTATTAGGATAAGAAATAGAACATATATGTGAAATATAGTAAGAAGGTATCTTTTGGAACAATATGTTTGTTTTAGGTATGATAATTACTTTGATGGGATTTAAATTTTACTTAATGGGTCAAAAAGGCTTTTTAGAGATATGGATTGATTTATAGAATATATATCTGAAATAGAGTAAGAATGTATTTTTTTGGAGTAATATTTTTATTTTAGGTATGATAATCACTTTGCAATGGAAGAAAATGGATTGTGATAAAGGAAGACGGCATTAATAAATGAGTTATTAGAATAAGAAATAGAATATATTTGGGAAATGTAAGAATGTAACTGTTGGAATAATATGTTTATTTTAGACATAACTATTATGTTATGAAACAAGGGAATTTAGGGATACCCGAAGTGTAAATAATATGTTTATTTAAGGCTAAATTGGATTATGGTAACTGTAAGTTAGTAAAGCTTAAAAACAGGATTTGGACTTATATAGATGAAATGTTATTGATATTTTTTTTTATTGATTGAACTTTATTTAGAAATGTATTAATTTGAATATGTTATATTAATTGAGGGAAATAGAGAGGGAATCTTTAAAGAATTAACCTGAGCTATATATGTACGATTTTCTTTTGGATGATTGTTTACCCCATCACCACGTCGTTTCCCAAGCACCTTGATGTAAAAACTAAAAAACTAATAAAACTTGTTCAAAAAAAAAAAGAAGTGGATAATGGGGAAAATATTATAGCAAGTATACATAGGATATAAAGACCCATAGAGCTGTTGATCTCTCTGGAAACATACTTGTGTAGAGTAGTCTCCTTGTTTCAGGTCTCCTTTCGCCTTGTTTGTGGAAGAGTTGGCTAAGTCACAAATATATTACCAGGAAACTTTCTTCTCCTTAGAGTAATTTGATCTTGCCAAACAAAAGAAAGTCCCTGAAAAGGAAAATCATAATTGTATTTTTCTCACCCACAAACTTTTTACTAAATTCTTTTCATCTTTTGCTTTAACTTTCAGACCTGGGAATAGCAGCACAGAGAGACGGTTCAAAGAAGAGACAGTTATTGACTATTTTGATGTACAAGACTGATGAGATTAACCTGGAATTATGCTGTTGAAAATTGGAAGTGAAGCTACAAATGTGTTCAGGATCATTTTTGTCAAAATATATTGTTTTATATATTTGAAGTTCATCATGCAAACAGCAGAGGAAAAGAAATGGTTCATCATTTTTATGTAAGGCAAGATAGAATATTATAACCATTTGTGATTGAATAATTTAAATGGGATCAGGTCACAATGATATATGTGCATCTACAGTCAGCTTCTTATGTAAGCCATTGAATGGTTAGTCAATGGTATGTAAGGAATTCCTGGTGCAACGTAGATTCTCATCTATGTCGTGTGTGGATCTCAAGGATCAGGAGTAGTACCAGTAAGCATGACCTATTCTTCCTCTCTTGAAGGCATAAATATGTGAGGGGAAAACGTTAAAAAAGAATTAGTATAAAATTTTTCAGCAGACACATAACAGTGATTATTAATAAAGTATATGAGAATTCTGATTATATTTGTAAATTTAGATGGACTGCTAAAACGCTAAAGTTAAAACCATAATATACACAAAATAGTCCTATAAGTGTTTCAGATTCATGATGTTAGTAACAATAGAATTGTTGATCCAAGAAAATGGCACAGTTTGTTTCTAAACCTTGATGGCCTTTTTCATCACTCTTTTAAATGTTAGATCCTTTCAGATTGTGACTGTACAGTAAGGAATTAATTTTGTGGCTCTTCTAATGTGACTACAATTCCTAGCAGCTCAAGACAGCATAGTCAACAGTAAAGGAAGTACTGGACAGCCATATATTTTCTATCCCTTGTATGGTTAGGAGAATATTCATTTTGTAAATTTATACATTTAGAGTGAGAATTTGGGTTTTTTTTCTTCAGTTAACAGTAACATATATGATTATTTTTGACTATGGTGATAATGCTACTTTGTTTAAATTAGTAATTCTTAGCATATAAAGAAATTATGGGCAATTATGAATGAAGCAGTAGTGGAAGGTTGTCAACAGCATTTTGTTTCTGGAGAGCTTTCAATTTCCTTAATATCTTCTCTGTTTAATCATCCCTGTGCGGGAAACTTCTGATGTCAAAAGTGTGTTATCAGGCTGCCACCTTGGTGTGGAAGAATATTATATGAAAGGTAAGTTAGTTACCTTGATTTTATAAATTGTTAGCCTGTTTTCCACAAAATATCTGTGACATCTTACTGCATGTAGGATATCCTGACTTTTTCTGGATTATAGTTTTTGCTCATTAATACTTTGCAAATATATTAATTTCTGGTTTATTTCTCAATGAAGATTTGTTTATTTATTTAGCATATGCATTCAAAAGGAACATGAATAAGCATTTTTATAGCTTGAAAATTGTAACATGAGAAATTGTCATATCTCAAATTTAGGAATATGCTTGAATTTAATTCAACAGAGATGGTGAAATAAGTAATATGGCATGTATTTACACCTATTATAATGAATTCTTGTTACTTCCTTATATATATTTAAGTAGCCCAAGACAAAGTACAAACTAGCATTCTCATAGATATTAATAATCAAAGGAATGATAGAACATTATTGTTAGGTAGAAACCTATTGGCAACATAACTAAAATTTGAGCATTTTTCTGTTTCCAACTACCCAAAACATGATCTATTCCATTTCAATACCAATATACTGAAGTTGTGCTAGTACCATTCCAGTGAATGAGTTGATTTCCTGCACTAAAGGGGACTGTATAGACAGATTATATTCAATTTGTTGATGAGTTACCACATTTGCTAGAGAGCTTACAGGCATAGGCAAAAGAGCTGCTAAGTATATGTGAAGTTTGAATACAACTAAAGAAGAATGTACAATAGATCTATTGGAATAAATGCGGAAACTTAGTCTTATCAAGTAAGCTACAATATAAACCAATTGTATCTTTACAGAGGAAGGATGTAGACACGCATTTCTATTCATTGCTTGTTCTAGAAAGAATTGTCTGCATAAACTGATAGGCACATGGTACTAACTTAAAAGCAATATTTGTGTATGTGAACTTATTATAAGAAGTCACATATGCAGAAAAGGTTTATTCATTTTTAGTGTTTAGCACTTTTTATTTATGTGACGTGGTTTCAAAGTGATTGATCCTGCTGTTGCTTGGTGAAAAAGTGCCATGTGAATATTAAGGGATTAAAAAGGTATTTATTTTTAGTGGTTTGGCTAAATTGTGATATTTTCATGAAGACTCGACCTCTCAGTTTTTTAAATTATATTTTTCATTTATTCATTTCTCATTTAGTTTGTGCAATTATGGTAACTGAGAGGGAGAAGTCTTTAGAACAAGTTTTTGCACACTGTTCTTTCCTAAAATTATGGATGGTGCAACTGAGTTTATATATGCAAATAGTGCAGATAAAATTCAAGAATGTGGCATATATATATATATGGTTTCTTTCTCCCATATTTGGGTCGACAGGGTGCATCAAAAAGCACTCAAAGTAATATATATATATATATATTAGTCTGAATATATATATATATATATATATATATATATATATATATATATATATATATATATATATATATATATATATATATATATATATATATATATATATATATATATATATATATATATATATTATCTATATATATTCAGACTATTTAATGCTCTGTGTGCTTTGACCTGTATAATCTAACGTGAATATTACAATGGAAATGATTCTTTATGCCATTTCATATAACACAAATGATGAAGTAAAAAAATACCAATATATTATTATTTTTAATACATTATTTCAGTCTTTACATTCACAAATTGCACATTCTGCTTGCTTTCAATTTCAGTGGTGTAATAAATGGCTGACTTTATAAATCTGAAATAGAAGTCTGTAATAAAGTACACATTTTCAGATGGATTTTTTAAAAAAATCTACTTTAAAATTCTTGTGAATTGTTTAAAAATGAAGGCTGCTGAAATGCTATAGGACAGCGGCTCACAACCTTTTGGGCACCAGGGACCGATTCTGTGGAGAGAGGCTTTTCCGTGGACCTGAGGGGGCATGGTTTCAGGTGCTGCCTGCATCCCGTGGATGGGGCTTCGTTTGTTTGCATGGCCCAGTTTCTGGGATGCTGTGGCCCAGTGCTAGTCCATGGGCCGGGGACCCCTCCTATAGGAAGTCAGTTGTGACATTTAAGGGAATATCTTTATAAACTTTAATAGTGAATATCAGATTGTCTTAAACTAAATCAGGCATGTTAACTGTTTCTTTTTCTAATGTTTTACAAACATTAGAACATTGTCTTTACAAAGACAAATGCTAAGAGTAGTCTAAAGCCCAGTTCAACAAGAATCATAAAATTAAATTTCAATATGTAGCTGAGGAAGAATCATTAAATTTCAAATGCACCGTGATGCACTGAGTTTCATCTCAGGAGTTACTTTTGTAGGTTCCTAGGACTTAATCTGAAATAAATAATATTTTTCAGATTTCCCCATTTTAGTTTATAGATGTCAACATTTCCTCATCAGATTTCCCAATATTGGAAACAAAGGGTATGATGGGATGGGCAGAATGTTGGCTTATAAGGAAGGATTTTTCTTGATGACAAAGATTATAGAATTTACTAGAGTACTCTCAATAGGATTGTATATGGATAGTCCATGTGCTTTAAATATCCTAATAAACTTAGTTGAACCTAAAAGTCTTACTATAGATATCGTAAGTACATACATCAATCCCCTTTTATTAAAAATACAAGTTTGATATATTTATTTTAAAATGTCCAAGGATAGTAATTGTGATTTATAAAACATTTTTAATTCAAAATGTTTTAAACTTCAAAATAAACCATGTGAATTCTAAAACTCTTCTAAATATTCTGAAAATGTTCCTTCTCAAAATATCTACTTGAATACAAAACTTTTCCTTGAATCCTTTTTAAGTTCGGTATACTTCTGGAATAATTGGAAACTATTTTTAAATTGGGCTAGTATTTTATTGACTGCAGTTGTCAAATTATGTTTTGTGTGTGTGTGTGTGTAGGTGTAGATGGATGGATGGATGGCTATATGTATAGATACAGATATAGATACACCCACATACAAATACACTCCCACACACATGTTTTTTGTTTGTAACCCTCGGGTGAAACGGTACATCATAGGGGAACAATTTTTGAATTGAGGTACCTCAGATGGGCTAACTTACAGAATGTGTCCAAAGTTCAGGATCTATTGCTCCCGTGAGATTAAAATTTGGGAAAGTCGTGGCCAGTGCCATGTTGCTATTGTCATGTAATCATTTCCAATGTTCTTGACAGCTTCCCACAAATTAATGGGAAAGTCAGCAGGAAATATAAACTTGATTGTGATTGGCAATGCTCCTTGTCAGCTTCCCACAAAGTGAGTGGGAAAGTCGGCAGGAAGAAAGCCAGCAAGCAGATAGGTGACTCTTGCTCAGTGGAGAAACGAATGAGGGGGGTTGCATGAGATGCGGCGAAGGTTGGAGAGGGTGTACAGGGTGCACAACAGGAATGATGCTGGTGAGGGAGAGGGGGCCTGAGAGATGGAGCAAGGGAGCAGTGCATGTCATGGAGGGTTCATGAACAGGAAATTCGAGCAACATAAAACCTTCCCTACTGACTTCCCCATTGAGAACTTCCCACAAACAAAGCCAGTGGGGAAGCCAGCAGGAAGTCAGAAAATGCTCCTGCTCTCGGTGATTTTTTTTGTCCATCAGTCATTCTGTTTTTGATTCTCTGCAGATAACAGAATAATAAATTATTATTTTAATGATCTTAAATTCTTATCACCAAAGATATGACCAGGATGAATTGCTTTCTTTATCACCTTATCACTTTCACCCCAAGAGTTCTTACTATGTTTTATCAAAATGCACATGATAAGCAACTGTAAAATAAATGAAACAGCAAATACCTGTTAACAGAAGAGAAAATCTTATATCAGTATATTCTGCAATTAAAAAACTAATATGGATGATATCACCAACAAATAAGAATCTTTGAGGAATTCAAAGAGTGAATGAATCTTTAATGTCTTGCAGATATTTTCGCAGGTGTAGATAGAAAGCACATTTTCTGGTGTATCAGTAGCCAAGAATTCATTTCTTCATTTAGTACCAGTGAATTGGTGGCAAAATAATCTGAATAAATATATAAGGAACAACTGAGGGCATACTCCCATTTATGTTCAGAAGGCCAGAATAATTATACTAATTAGTTGCAAACTAATTACTAGTATTGTGTGCAATGAAACTACTAAAATGCTTGATATAATCTTGACATAAATCCTAAAAAAGAGACCACTATTATCTCTACATTGCAAATATGAGAGAAGACTAAGAACAAACAACTATTCTGTAATAATTCATGACTGAGATGTTTGAGGAACTGAAGCTGAACTTGCTGTCTATGCTTGAGGAAAGGAGCTACAACCAACCACATTCCGAAGGCTTATCGCAGCTCATGTTTTTCCCAAAGGGCCGTACAAATTTGCAGCCTCAGAAATTTGAGAGATCGACTCATTCATTCATTCATTCCCTCATTCACTCACAGTTTACTCACAAGCATCCATGCTGCATATCAGCTGCCTGGCAAATTGAGCCATATTGATATTTTCAGGAATGTGCCAATGTTCAGAGGCAGCCTCTACCCCTTAGCTTACAAAAATGAATGTTAAGGCAGTATGTGTGGTGGGGAGGTTAGGAGAAAAGAAGATAAGAAAGCAGATGAGGAAGCAAAAGGTGAAGTCTAGAATTTACAACTATTCCAGGCAGGCAAGAGGTCAACTACTAGGATCATAACTACGGTAAGTAGCATATCCTGGTTTGATTCCTGCATGGAACTTGGTTTGGGAGATAAGTTGAAGTGTTCAAAAGCAACACTGCTTAAAAGCAGAATTTGGAGCTTGGCCTGGATCTCTGCAGCAACCAGAGAAAAAGAGCAACTACACTGAGGCAGCCCATCACTTCAGCCAGTGCAAGAACTTTTCAAGGGAGACAAAAAGGTGCATGCCAGTTTAAAGCCTGGTAATGTATTAAAGAGCTATTTACCAGTCTGCATCAACTTGCAAGGACTAAGGGTGAAGTTCACTGAGAGCAACAGTCTTATTTTGGGGGGAGGTGTGTGACACAATAAAGCATTGTTTGCAGTTATCTGCTATGTATCAAGGCCTTGGAAAATAAAGAATCCTCATAAAATACAATGTGATTTTATAATTCATATTATTTTTAGGACTATCCATTACTATGAGATGATTTTATTTCCAGAAAAGCATTTCTGCTCTGCTGCACTGGCATATGAATATTTATTTTAAATCAAGCTTATCTATTTTTCATTAAAAAACAACAACAACCACCTGTCATTAGTATTATGGTCTTGCAGATTTCATTTATTTCATTCGAGCAGATGGGCAAATTAAGAATTATTGCTGAATCCACGCCCATCACACATTTCTCGAGCGACCACAGAAAAAGACCAGACCATAGTGTTTCTATCTGACAAAAATTACACACAATCCCAACTTATAATTATCGTAGATTATTCTAATGTTACTTTCTCATCCAAATAAATAATTTCAGTTTCCTTTAAAAAATAATTCTTAAGAGAATGCTGTAGCTTTTGTTTCTATCAGCCTTTATCTCCAATCAATGAAAAAACTATATATTTAACAATATAAGTATTTTCCTCATGAATCTCCCAAAACCTTTTTTTTTTAATTACCATTACAAATAGCTTTGTAATCTTTCTATTTCTGTGATAATGCAGGAGCCAGAACCTGTAAAGTGAGTGAAATGTTTGTGATCCAGAAAAGAGCAATTTGCCACCCAAAGATAAACACTTGGAAAATCATGTTCTGCATAAATACGAATAAAAGACAATTATTTTGAACTGTAGTGAGTTTAGGACATTTATCTCTAAAATATAAATAAGAAGGGGTTGTTCAAGACTGTAAAAGTAGTGTGGGACTGCTGCTAAGGAAACCAAAAAGTCATAATGACTCTTACCAGCTCCCTACTGAAGAGGTCATAATTATCTGCCTACTTTCATCTCTTTTATAGTGGGTTGATTATTACTTTTGATTATTTGTTTCTAATGACATGCCAACTCTTCTATTTAAGACTATTCTAGTCTTCCTAGACTTCTTTTTTTATGTCATCTCAATTTTTATCCCACTATTATTCAATATAGCTAGAAATATGTTGGTTTCCAAAAGACAGCTGAATAATAAATACTGATATACATACAGCCTTCTATCTTTTCCCCATTTCAGAAACCAACTTCTCAAACGTATTAACTGCAGGTAGTCCTCAACTTACAATTATAATTGAGACCAGAATTTCCACTACTAAGCAAATTGGTTGTTAACTGAGTCATACTCAATTTTATCACCTTTTTTGCTATGGTTGTTATAAGTAAATTATGGTCATAAGTAACTTTTTTCAATTCTATGATAAGTTTAAACAAATACCAATAGCAATATACTTAGACTTATATACTACTTCATAGTGCTTTTACAGTACTCTCTAAGCGGTTTACAGAGTCAACATATTGCCCCCGACAATCAGGGTCCTCATTTTATCGACCTCGGAAGGATGGAAGGCTGAGTCAACCTTGAGCAGGTGAGGATCAAACCCCTGGCAGTGAACTGAATTAGCCTGCAATACTGCATTCTAACCACTGCATCACCACTATGTTTATATACATGAATGGTTATAAGTTCAGGTTTACCTGTATTTGTATTGCTTATTCTGTGGAATTTATGAGAATTCTACATGTAATAAGGAAGGAAAAGAAAAAAAATGCAAAATTTTGCTAAGAAATGTTAAGTGCAAGGATTCAGATAGATTTTAAGAAAAAAAAAAGCCTTACTTCAAAGGGAAGACTTAAAAGAATTATAAGGAAAAATATACCAAAGACATACTTAAAATATACAGCTGCTGAACAAAATGAAAATTAAAGATTATAGTCCTCTAAAATATATAAAAAAAAACATAACCATTTAACACTGAAGGTCTGAAAGGATATCATTTTTATTTAATAGGAAGGACAGAATGAGTTAAATTCTATAGTGATTATGATAACATAGTATTACTATATATTTTAAATAATTTGTATGTAAACTCAAGGGAATCATTTTATTAAAATCTTTTGCTTTGATTACTTTGGATTATGTTCTTCCATCTCTGTCAGTCATATTCCCATGCTATTATACAGTAATTGCTGTGATTTCCCACATCAATTAAGGTTTTAGAGATTTGAGATAGCATTTTAAATTGGTTCTGGAAACTGGCTCATAAAGCTCGTTTTACACAATTATAATTAAGACTATAATTAATTATAAATGTGATCAATTTCTCAGTTTGTAACACCTTTCCCCATTTCTTTTTCCTCAGCATTAACATTTACCAGTTTACTCATCCAAAACCTACCTGTTGCTGAACTTCATGAATGCTATGTGTATCACTGTTCCTATACAGTGATAAACATGTGCATGCTTCTATATGTGTGGTCCTTCCTTTAGATTCTCACTTCATATTATTTACTTGATGTATGCTCCATATGTGCAGTACAGCTGCAACTAGAATTCACAAATCTAAGAACAGAATTATCAAATAATTGCTTCCTGATACATTGAATACACATTATGTACGTCTCCTGAGATTTCAAGTCATCTTTCCTTCTCTCCCCCCCCCCCCATGATCAAACCTACCAGTTATGACACTGAATTTTACATAGGTCAGTAAGGCTGTATTGAGTTTATAGGTAAGCAGTGAACTGTTCCTGTCTATAAATGATAGTAACAGTTCACGATAATGGGAAAAAAGTAATTGTGAAAATCTCTAGAAGGACATCATTAAGTTGGGTGAATGTCAGCTGGCATATTATGCAGTTCGATTTAAATAAATACAAAGTGAAGTGCAGTACCGCAAAAGACACAAATGTCACACATACTGTAATGGGGCTGAGCAATCTGTAACTAACCAGGAAAAATATCTTATAGTCATTGCACATAGCTCATTGAAGATGTTGATTTAGCATATGGCAGATGAGAAAAACGCAAACTAGCAAAGGGATGTGTATGAAGATCAGTCATCACTCCTTTTTCTCTTGGCTTGTTAATGAGTTTGACAAAAGATGTTGAAAAATCTGAAAGCTTTTATTAGTTTGTGTTTGCATAATTAAAAATGTTAATTTAACATGATCCTTGAAGTTTTGTAAAGTAAGTGTTTTAAAGTTACCTCCTTTATTATCCACTGAAATGACATCAAAATGTAAAACTTGATTGAATGAAGGAATCAGCATGGAAAACAGATTAAACGTATCTCCATATTTTAAAGTTAGGACACATAGAAAATACAGTTATAGTTTTCGTCTAGGAGTTCTATGAAAAATTTAAACATACAGTATACATCGCAGATAACCCAAAGAGCCCTGTTTTATTTTATGACCAATTCTTAATTCGTTTTTTGAAAAATATTAAATTAAAACCTTTTCCTTTCAATAGAGTACCAAGATCCATTTTTTGAAGCTGTAATAGAGTAATTCTTAAACTTGTGCCCTTCTAGCACTGCTCCTATGTGATAATTATGGGGAGACCTCAGTATATTAATTGGCCACTGTATTCTCTAACCATGACGAAAGTTGAAATATCATGCTTGGTTTGTTTTCTGATTTGACAGCATGGTACTGGAGAGGAAG